AGAGAGAAGCATCCATAGGACGAGACACAGTCGTTGGTCTGACTCCGTCCCTTTTTGGGGATATTCCATCAGCACTCAAAATCTTCGTCGTTCTTTGTCACCCATAAATACACCATCTGGCCGGCGGCAGTCAAAAGATGCTGCTTCTTCGGGTGAGTCGATAGCGAATGGACAACTTTCGACGGATGTTCCAGTTTTGCTATCACAGCGCTGTCAAGCAAGCTGAAACGAACACGTTTTGAGTTCCAATAAAAGGCAACACTAATAGGTGCACTCTGTGACCATGGTTTGGGCGGAGTCAAGCCTATCAATGAGCCTTCTCTTTTTCTGTTCCTCCTTTCAAAGACGATGAAGAGCAGATGCACGCCAAGAAGGGAAGAAGGCGTAAATGGTTGACTGCCTCCGCCCAAATGAGCAACTGGGTTCCGCCCACCAGCAAAAAAAAACGAATTTAAAAGAAATACCACATCAGCTTTGACTGCCATAAGAACTCAAAAACGACTGACCTCCAAATATAAACAAATCCATCCTCAGAACCCGACACAACTTCTTCGATCGAAGCCATTACACAACTGTCCACTTTGTACTCAGAATTCTTATGACCGGTATAACTAAAACATACAAAGTCGAGATACCACTTTATCTCAGGAACTTTTGGAACAGCTCACCTAGCCAGCATTTTATCGCAGATTACCATCCTGAACTGAAGCCAATATACAGTTCGAATCCGGGGTAAAATGGACACTGTTTACACTTTCACCCATAAAATCAATATGGACCTGAAAATGTTCTTTTCTGAATTGGACTTCAGAAGCAGAGATGTTCGTTTCGATAGTTTACAGCATGAAGGCTGTGCGCCAAAGAATGGCGCTAAGGTAGCGTTCAGACTTCGCGATGACGCGCGTCGACGCCCTACGAGGCGCTATCATTAGCGCTCATTGTCAGTGCTATAGACGCAACCATAGACTAGTACTCCTACTGTCTTGAGAGAGTATAGAAGGAAAGGAGCGTACCAGACTGCGTAATAAGATGCCAGTAGCAGCGTCGTAGCGCGTCGACGCGCTATGACGCATGCCATTACGAAGTCTGAACGGTGCCCAACGCAACTGGATGAAGTGGGGGGGGGGGGGGGTACTATGCGACTGCCGCTGCTCGTCTGTACCAGGGAAGCTTCGCAAAAGGTCTGTGGGAGAGAGGCCGACATTGAAATAGATACGGAACTCACATTTCCCTCCCTGATACTGTACAATCGATAATTGCCATCAGCTGAACCGGCGACTATTTCTCCTCCATTGATATCTATACTGAGTACACTGTCGGTTGCTTCATTGAAAACCTAGTAATAGAACTATTGATTATGATTGTAAATGCCGTGCCATGGTTATAATTACGATACACTGCTGTTTCCAGGCACATTCTGCGGGCGACAGACAACCAATGTGTTTCCCTTATTGGTGAGTCCTTCTCACATGGTAAAGGGGGTGCGCGATGAAGACGACATATGGGATGACTGTCTCCGCCCATACGACCCATGCGGATACTTGCTTCGAGATGGAGACCACAAATGAGGCAGTTCGCAACTGAATTTGGCAGTCAGGTTCGTAGTGTGTGTTGAAACTTTACTGCAGCGAAATGATCGGTTGCACAATGATCATGTACAAATATTCTTAACGGCACTACTAAGCCTTACACCCTTTTGGGTACACTTTTAGATCACAGCATCGATTTCTTAGTACCCCCCCCCCAACGTAGTCTGATCCCTAGAACACAAATGTCACACTTATCGACATGGAAACGCCTGGCGCTACAGGGGGCGAAGGGGATTTGTTTTGACTCCGGCACGGCGATTTCGTGCGAAGGAACAGCAATCCCCGCTGCCGGGAAGGCTTTCGTGGCCACGTGTGATATGACCCCTCCCTTTTGTAAGACTGAGCCTTAGAGAGGAAGCAGTACAATCACTATCTCAGACAAAGGGTGCGGACAAGTAGGAAAAGTCACCCCTCGCGTCCCTCAAGCCTTTCCGTATCCTGGACTTCCTAAGCACCCATGTGAATAAGATATTATGATTAGGGGTCACACTGTTCTGGGAAACAAGTACTCGGCGGATTTGATAATTCAGTGCCTATGGCACTTAACACCAAAACCACCTGGCGCCGGTATCTTCGGTGCAGGCGCTAGGTGGTTTCGTATTAGGTTGCCCGGTAAAGTTCTCAGCGTTTTGAGTGTTTCACTTTTTGAGTGTTTCACTTTAAACGATCATAACTTTCTCAATACTCATCGGTTTTAATCGAAATAAGCACCGCTCGAATCAGCACACTTTTGCCAATGTGACACCAGTCGATAAATCCCATCAAGCAAAACGGTGGCGGGCTCGGAGAAATCCATTGAAATCACGAAGACTTTTTTTGCCTTTGAAAGGTGATAGTCGGTTGGTGAAAGGTCCGGAGAATATGGCGGGTGAGGTAGAACTTCAACCCCCAATTCGTTCAATTTATGGATAGTGATTTGTGAAAGGCGACGTTGTGGGTGGGCGGCAAAGATCGCCGACCCCCTTTTCTTCTTGATTAAGCTGCTTTCCTGCAGCTGACGCAATTTTCGGTACATTTCGTCGATTTCTTCACAGTAGGGTTCTGCTGTGATGGTTTGGCCTGGTGACAAAAAGTTATAGTGGATCACACCAGCCGATGACCACCACAATGTGACCACAATCTTTTTTTCGCTGAGCGACTTGGCTTTGAAAAGCCTCGGTAGGTTCACGTCGGCATCGAACACTGTCCCGCGTGAACCGATCTCCTACTATCACATATGATCCACTTTTCATCACAGGTGACAATTCGTCCAAAAACGGGTCGTGTCTGTTGTGCAAAAGCAGTGAAGAAGAAACTCGAGACGTGCCAATTTCTGCCGGTCACTCAAATTGTGGGGCACCCACTTGTCGAGTTTTTCACCTTCCCAATTGCGTTTCAGACCATCCGTAACAGTGGATTTGCCAACGCTAGCTTTTCTGCCCAATCTCTAAGAACTGTTTGGGATGGGTCAGCCTCCACAAACGCCTTCAAATCCTCGTCAGCTATTGTTTAGGTCGACCGCTACGAGTTCATCTTCAGGGCTGAAATCTCAGAACGAATTTGTCGAACCATTGTCGTACGGTGCTTTCTCCAACACTATTGGGCCCCCACACCTGGTTAATTTGTCGAGCTGTCTCGACTGCGGATTGACCAATTTGTAGTTGAAGAAAAATATATCGCTCCCGGAAGTTACTCTATGACATGCTTCAAAAAAAAGTCTTGGGAAAAAGGGGTTTTCAAGCAACGGTGAATGGCAAGACAGTACACCACTCAGATAGCGGCAAAAAATTCTCTTCAGTTCATGTACACTGAGACGCGAGGGAGAATGACTTTTTAATCAGCAATGAATGTACAAAAAGTAGTAACACAAAACGCTGTCCAAAAGGTTGATCTACCATGCGGCAAAACGATAAGCAGCCATAGAGAAAAGTGGGCAGTGAGTAATAGGAGAACATACATAGTGCTGCTAGTCTCCATGTAATTCCAGATTCCCCTTCGTGAAGAAGGCAGGAACAAACTCCCGCCTCTCGCGACAAACGTGCAAGACGATTATAAATCCGTGCATGTCACCCTCTTAACCCACACAAACTTCAGCGTCATCACGATGGGTGCATCTGCGAAATGCAGTTTTCCCATTTTCAGTGGCTTCAAACCCTGACTACATTTATCTACATACAAGATTCATGTCCATTGCTTTATCACTACGGCTTCGATTATCAAAAGCCTGCATAGTACAGTCCGTCGAACCCGAAAATACCACATTTGACTCTTCATTGAAAGCGACGGCATTTACTCGAGCTGAATATAAACGCATCAGGAAAAATTAAATTGTTTACACAGTCATGTTTTCCGCTTACAAGACGCTGTGTCAGGGGGAGGGAGTAAAATAGGAGCGGAGCAGGTCGCCCTCCACCACCACCCAGCGACAACAGTTGGTGTAAAATGGGCTGCCGCCGCTCAGCTCCTTGACACGCCCCGCCGTTCTGCACCGAAAACCGACCACAATGCGGAATAGATGGTTCTCATGAGTTTCGGCGTGAGGAAATCGACGTGTTGCGCGCAGCGACTGTGAAGTTCGTTCTCGCAGTGGCTCGCGGTGCACATGCCGCATATGCGACGCCAGTTGCAAGGCTCTCTTGCTGGGCCCTCGCTCGCTAGCTCGGATCTCCTTCCCGTACTAGCAAAGGAGATCTTTCATGTCTTGGAGCACCTTTTTTGGCAAGAGTTGTTGCATGTTGTAAGGGTACTATATGAAGTTCTGGAGTTGAGGTTCATTTATCACTGAATCCGTGGTCAAAACTCGTAGGCTGCGCCCTCTACTTACTCCCTGACGTCATAGCTTGTCTCAGCGACTATCAAGTACCCTTGAAGGCCAAACTTCCCCGCGAAGAACGATTCGTGTGGAGTGTAATAGATCGGTCGAACTTTGGCGGGCCACGACAATCGAACCTTTCCACTGTTCGCTTACGCCCTCTTCCGACATTCTGAGAGGCGCATCGGAAAAATGAAAAATTGAGCTGCGTTTTTGTGGTACGCGCAGCTGCCCCTACAAGATAAGAGACCCTTTCAGAAAAGCGGTTTATGACCTGAAAGACTCCCTTGTTAGTTTCACAGCTATTGAACTTGAATTTGTAATTTCTTGAAATCATGAGATACACAACCCACCAGCATGTGCTCGCCATCTTCGTAAGATTTTCCCTGTCTCCACGTCGAACACGGTCAGACATTTATCGGCTCCACCAGCTGCTACTTGGGAGTTATCCGATGACGATGCCACATCAAATACCTGGTTCACTAATTCAGCTTTTCGATAATTATCCGCAAAAATCGACCAGTGAGAGAAAGGAAATAGAACAGTACAGCTGACTCATCCGGGGTAGCCCACACTACCATAATTTACCAGTTCTCGCTCATATTAGGTTCTGTCCTTCATAGATTAATATGTCAGCTAGAAAACCGGCAATGTTTCTTACTGCCTCATCGCCGAGGGTAGAATTTTTACCGACATTCTTTTCCGAAGGGGGACTAGGCTGGAATTAAGGTTTGACCGGGGGTAGTTTGATAACTTGAACACGAAAAACAGATCGCTTGGGACAAAACCGCCTCGCGCCACTTATGTCCGCGCTAAAATACCTCAGGCCACCAAAGCCGCTTATCTTCCTTTCAGTGACAGCTTCATCCTCTAAACATGAGAGCGAAATTCACATGGGTGCTAAGGGAATCATGGATTATGGCAGAATAGGATGGACACGTGGTGGCGTTGCTTTTTTGTTGTTTTTTTTCGCCCATTTCCTAAAATAGTGATTTCTTCCGCTGCAAGGCTGAGCATCAGCAAAGGGAATAACGATATCACGAGCGACCAGGAAGGGCGCGGTCTTACCTATTATCGGAGCCAACTCGGAAGGGCTCGATGGCTTTGCTTCCTTGTCTTAGTACGCTTAGCACGAAACCTCCTTCGAGCTAAGCGGATGTGATGTCCCTCCGAGCTAAGCGGATGGGATCAGTTACCTCCGAAAACAAGTACCTGGTTAGTTTGGTGAACCGAGGTAAACCGGCGCCGGCACCAGGCGGTTTCGTGGTAGACAGAAGTGACGTTCGTACTCATGGGTTTGAGACACCCTTGAAGAGAAAGTTCTGGGCAAATCAAAGTTCTGAGCCAAACTTAGAAATCAATAAAGTACCTTCACTAGTTGATTCGACTAGCGGAGTTATCGCTGATTCCTGGATATAACGCCGCGCACGCCGAAGCCTCCCCCCCCCTCGTCACTATGTGGATCTCCTAGCCAAGGGCAGCGCACTTCTCCAAGTCTTCAACCTTACCGCTCTTCCCACTATCATGTAACTAACGTACCTCATTTCCCGTACCAGTGTAAGTTTTCAGCAAAGAGCCTTTGATCGGATTCCAAAGTTTGACTGATTTATCACTGCCACATGTCAAGCAGTAATTGCCGTCAACTAAAATAGCGTTCTTCGAGCTATGTTCCAGCTTGCAAGTTTCGCAACCCTTGCATGGTCGTCAAACCCACGAATGGGAAGATGTACAGGAAATATATCAAAAATTCATAACAGCGACCACTACCGTTGTATCTCACTGCTCTGACAGCATCTTGACGGCAGTCGATCACTCGTGCTCGTTGGGTTGGTGCTCCTTTGCCCATTATTACAGTAATCCACAACCTTAATAATTAGGAACTGTACTTCGATCAGAGTGATTCTCCAATGATCAGAGGAGCAGACATAGGTGGAGACCCACAACCACTGAGCATTCCTCATCAACGCGTCCCTAGTCCCTAGCATTCTGAACAGAAGGCGCACGAACGAGGATGGTTTGGTACATGAGTCTCCGCTCATCCTATCTTCGTGGAACGTGTTTTTGAATTGATAAGATGGTTACAGATGTCATAACTGGGCGCTACACACTTAAGTTTATATAGACAGGCTCGAATTCAGAAGTTTCATTGGAGGAACCTAAAGTAAGGGTCCATGTGTACTGAAGATTACATTAAGTATGGCTGAAGAGAAGATAATACGACATAAGGCTGCAAGGAGCGCGGACTGGCTGCACTCACTGTCAGCCGAGTTCATGAGTCAGGCAGCCTAACGCGTCTATCAGATCCCGTATCCAGATTCATGCACGGACCCCTACCCAATGGAGCTCTCAGCTCTTTGAAAGATCGTCCGGTCCATTCTCTACCAGGCTCAGTATAGTCCACAAATATACTCCTTTTTACTGCATACTTACGCCTCCTAGGCACACCTCTCCTCTTTGGAGTGTTAGGAAGGCGGGCCAATGGAAAAGGCACAATGGCAATCTGATTCCGCCCATATGAACAACGTCGACTGAGTCATTAAACGCTGAACGGTTCCCCTTGCATGAACTGGATAACGCAGGGATTGTGCACCTTAGGAAGGATCGATAAGGGTGTGAAAGGAGTTGAAGGAACTGGAACGCTTCAACGCCCTGGTTACCTGCGCTTTGCAATGCTGAACATAGACAGGAAGGGATCACTACGTTTCTCCCCTCCACCCCTCCCCCGCACGCCTTTCTCGATGGCAGTTTTTAAAAGAAAAAATTTTTTTTGAAAAACTCTGAAGAAGTGGTAAGAAACTAGGCGAATTTTGGGAGAATTCAGAGAGATAGGTAGGATAGTGAATGGGCAAGGACGGGAGGGTCGCACCAGAGGATGAAACTGTGAGGGGGTTATTCTGCAGGAATTTTCCCCAAGAGCAGGTCGCCCCTGTGGACGTACCTTGATAACACTTCAATAAAAGTTCACCTCACCTTTGCCCTCTAATAATCGTTTCTCCCAACCGCACTCCAAACCTTTTGCTCCAATGTGGCACCACGAAGGACCTTCAGAGTTGTCACGGAGATATCACTAAATACCTACATGGAACATAAAGAAAGGAAATAACTAAGAATACGACTGGCTACCAATATTTTCAAGAGTATGTTCGAAAAGGAAGCAAGCCTTTCAGACGTAATATTGCAACACATTTCAATAAAACTTTCATATAACCGTAGATTTATCACTTTGGCGAGAAACTGCATATAAAGGCAATTATTGCTACTGCACTGTGACCAAAGTTGTTATAAGTATTAACAATCATGCATTGAAACTTTGTGAAAGTAGTCAGAAATACAAAATTTTCCGTGCTACACCGGGAATTCCACTGAAATGGCACTTCTGTCCAACTATTCAATTTGAGTGATCAGGTGGCAGTTCCTTTTGTTCGCTGAGGGCCCGCGATTCATGAAGTATAACATCGAAAGACACACCCTAGAAGAAATAGAATAAGTACAAGGTTTGATGACCCTATTTTATTGAAATTCGGGCCAATTTCTATCGAAACTTGTCCAGAGAACAGTCTTGTCCAATAAAGGATGCTGGAGATAGTTTGACCCTGCCCAGAACATATCTTGGTCTGACACGAAACTGGTATCCGCAGTTCCTGAGAAGGTTAAGCTACAAGACTGTGTCCTTCATTCGTATCGGCCATTTTTCACCAACTGTTGTCGTCTAGCCGCTTCAACAACTGGTAGTGAAAGGGTTGCGCGGCATAGCAACAAGTCGACAGCAATTTGTGGGACTTGGCAAGCTGACTGTGATTGGTGGGAAACTGGCTGGCGCCGCGCCAAACCATCTCGCCTGGCACGCCCCTTCATCCGCAACGAGCAAGACTGTGAGCAAGTTCCAGCAGTAAGGAAAAGTTGTATACCATTAAGGAAATGTTGTTGATTCCTTAATCTAACGAATACCTGATGATACGCGGAAGACACAAAATGCTTATTTGCCGTTGCAGTGACAGCTCGGTAGTAGTCGCCTGAGCCAAAGATTACCTGAAATAGAACACTTATGTTGAAGTTATATATATTAAGACCTTTACTGCTCTACCGAAAGAAAACTGGCAAAAATATGCATCATATTGGGATGCATTCTGCAGTCGAAGCAGAATGTATCACAGAAAAGTGCTGAGCCACGGGAAAAGGTCCTGACACTAGGCTGGACTCGAAGACCCACCTCGTTGCAGTCACAACATTGCGTAGCCTTGGACGATTATGTTCTGTTCGCCACAACTAAACTGTCACGACCACGAATGCTGATTTCTCTCTAGATCCTCCTCCCACCCTCCCACCTCCCCCCTCCTCTCAGTTGAATGCGTCATCTATTCATACGGCTTTCCTTCCAATAATGTACACCATGTACGATTCCCTTTTGGCCTTCTCTGATATGCAAAGAACCAGCGCTGTTAGGAAGGAGAGGGGGGGGGGCATTTTGCACTATAGCTAGTTCCTTTTGTTAGTTCATGCTAACAAATAGGTCTCATTATGGTGAGGATATAAAGCCTTGTCAAGCTGGGAGTGATGCAGAGCTACTCAAGTTATAAGAAATCACGGTCTTCGTGAGGTGATCTGTACAACCAGTTGATGTCCCCACTAAGCCGAACTGCGCCGAATGAACCATTTTCCGTTATCTATTATTAACAAGTAACCACATACCAAACTTCGTTGGTTAATCCGATCCGAGGGCTTCAGTGTGGTGGTTTTCTCCGAGACCGCATCTTCTACTAACCGTACATGCGAGAACAATTCTTCCATTCGTTTCTTTTCGGACTCTCCTCCTACCGTGCTAAGAATATCCCGCACGGAATCGTAGGCCGTACGACAGATAATCCACTCTCTGCCTGGAAGTCAGAAGATTAGGCACATTCTTCATTTATACAGCATAATGCTATGCTGTCACACAGATCTGGGTTCTGTGGCCCATCTATCTCAGCGTCGGTTCACATCTTCGGCAAGCTTTGCCTCCGACAATCGAATACCCGTGTGCGCAGAGTCAGGCCTACTAATGCGCCTTAATCAGGGATCCACCTCATCCTGATGATAAGACGATGGAGGGGTATACAAGGCACAACAGCAAGCCTGACTCCGCCCATACGACCAGAGGGGAAGTCTTTGACCATCATCTCCATGCGTTTATTTGACACAAAATCGGCACAAGCCAAACCGAACGATTGCTTTTGGGAATCAACCTAGAGGAAACCATAAGCAATAATAGAACATGAAAGATGCAAACCTTCAATCTGGCTCAATAATTGTTTCCTAGCGGGATTTTTTCGTTCCATCTCTGCCTGTTGAGATAGTAAGACGCTGTCAAACCTACAAAAAATAAGTTGAGTTTTATGTCGGTTGCCACTCGGTAGCATACCTGACTAAGAAAAGTGTGGATATGATAGTGATGATAGAACAGTTTTCTGCGACCGGTATCGAGCTGGGACAGAGGCAAATGGCAAGGGAGACAAAATGTTCTTGGAAACACGTTACACATAGAGCTTATGAGCGGAGTTAGTTGGACCAATGCTCCCTCCTTATTGGTAGGTCCCTCCTAGTATGACGGAAAAGTGTGT